ATTCATTCATTCATTCATTCATTCATTCATTCATTCATTCATTCATTCATTCATTCATTTAACATATATGCTGCCCACTCTACCCAAAGGTCTCTGGGCGGCAATTGATCCCTCCCTCACAACCCATGGATAGGGAAGAAAAGAGACAAACGAATAAAGAGAGGGACTGAGAGAGAAAAGGATGTTGTAGAAAGACAGACAAAAGCTGAAATCCTGTTATGCTGCTATGCAAAAGGCGCAACCTTTGGAGGCAAATTGCCTAGGTTAAGACATCTTCATAGGCGCTATCTGCTCCATAGTGAGTCACTTGACTCGGTGTGTCAGAGATAATGTCTATGGAGATATCTTAAGTTGGGGCAATTTGGCTCTAAATGTTGCAGATTTTGTGCAACAGTGTAACAGAATTTCATCCAGCAAGAGAAAGAAAGGAAATGGGGTAGCAGAAAATGCCCCTGACCTACCTAATTTTGTTACTGCTCTCGTCTCTCACTGATTTTTGGCCCCATCTGCTATCACTATCCTGATTATGAGCTATCCTTACCATCAAGCAAAATATTTTGGTATGATTGGGAGCTGAATGAGTTATTAAGACTCATAAGCTTTACAATAGACCTAATTGGGAGATGAGAGTGGCAAAAATTGGATTGTTGACTATGAGGTAAAATGGGTCAGCACAGATGCTTGCATTTTTAGAATTTTCCATGGGGATATCACACAGACTTCAAAACTTACCATTAAGCAATGGACTATAGATATGGACTTCTTCCTTTCACCATACTAACTTCTTTTTGGTCTATCTGCTGATGTTCTCTTCTTCCCACTGTGCTTCGTTTTCAGAACCTGTTCCCTGCTATTTCCCCTTTGTGTACAAGAACAAATCCTACTATTCCTGCATCAGAGAAGGGCCATTAAAGACACAGCTCTGGTGTGCCACAACACCAAATTATGACACGGATAGCCGATGGAAAGCATGTTCTTCACAAGGTAGTGGGTCTGTTGGGGATGGCACCTCATAATGCAAACAACAAGTGATGATGATGATGTCACTTGTTAAAATGACCACTTTTAACTATGCTTTATACGAATCTTAAATTATGTGACCATCTAAGATTAGTTGCAGCAGACATAAAGTAGAGACCAGGGAGAACTGACTGTATGGTTGGTGGGGGGCATTTAGGCATTCAGCAGGAACCAGGTTGAAGGAAGGGTGCTTGAGAAAGGATTTTTCAGATTTCTAAATGGTTCAGGTTTAGAGGGGAATAGGAAGTGATGAATGAATGAAGCTGAGGCTCCAATACTTTGGCGATCTCATGAGAAGAGAAGACTCCCTAGAAAAGATCCTGATGTTGTGAAAGTGTGAAGGCAAGAGGAGAAGGCGATGACAGAGGATGAGATGGTTAGACAGTGTCATCAAAACTACCAACATGAATTTGACCCAATTCCAAGAGGCAGTGGAAGACAGGAGGGACTGGCGTGCTCTGGTCCATGGGGTCACAAAGAGTCAGACATGACTAAATGACTAAACAACAAAAATATGCATATGAAAGGAATGTGTCCGGCTGAAACACATACATTTGAAATACATGCACAAATACACTTGGGTCAATAGGGAAAACGTGCAAAAATGAGTTTAAAAATAGGTACACTTTTTAAAGAGACAGAAATATCCTGCAAAAATTCTCTTCAGGAATGAAAACCAAAGTCTTGCAAACTGCTATGAAATAACGGTAGGACAAGAATACAGGTGAATTTTTGAGCAATGAGATAAGACTGAGAGCAACAAAGAGTCAGACATGACTAAATGACTAAACAACAAAAATATGCATATGAAAGGAATGTGTCCGGCTGAAACACATACATTTGAAATACATGCACAAATACACTTGGGTCAATAGGGAAAACGTGCAAAAATGAGTTTAAAAATAGGTACACTTTTTAAAGAGACAGAAATATCCTGCAAAAATTCTCTTCAGGAATGAAAACCAAAGTCTTGCAAACTGCTATGAAATAAGGGTAGGACAAGAATACAGGTGAGTTTTTGAGCAATGAGATAAGGCTGAGAGCATAAGTTATCTGAGGTCATGAAGAAACCAGAATCTGAAGGACAAGCTAATAACTGGGTCTGAAAGACAAGTCAGAACTGGATACCAAATGAAGAGGGCAGAACAAGGAGCAGGTCAGAGAAAATAGGAACATGCACTGGTTCAGCAAGATCTATTTGTCTTTCCCTTCTGACATCACTTGCCAGCCTGCCAGCTTGCCATAAAAGTCAGGACCAACCAAATATGTACTAAGACAGTGGTTCTTAACCTTTGTTACTTGGATGTTTTTGAACTGCAACTCCCAGAAACCCCAGCCAGCACAGTTGGTGGTGAAGGCTTCTGGGAGCTGCAGTCCAAAACTCCTGAGTAACCCAAGGTTAAGAACCAGTGTACTAAGACATACCTTTATTTGACCATCCATAAAAAACACACAAAATGGGCAAAAGCACAAATCACCGTGCAAGTTTTTCAAGACAACAACTCAGATGTACAAAATACACAGGACACGTCCTTGTTGCCCACATGCTGCTGTGAGATGTAATGCAGGAGGGTTGCTGCAGACAAAGAGCTGGGTCTCACCAGGTATTATTTCTGTAAGATATCACCTAGTTTAATGTATTAATATTTATTTAAAACATTTTTACCTTGAAAAGGACCTAAGGTGGCTTACAACAACAAAAGACAATATTTAAAGTTGAAAACAATGAGTATATAATGGTAGTTAATATTATTAAAAGGAGATACTTAAAAATTATGAACAATGAATAAGGAGGCATCTTACATGAATTAAATTTAAAAAGTCACTCTGAGAGGAAAACACAAGTACAGTGGTGCCCCGCATAGCGACAATAATCCGTGCAGCAAAAATCGCTGCAAAGCGATTTCGTCACTATGTGATTTTAAAAAGCCCATAGGAATGCACTGAAACCCCTTCAATGCATTCCTATGGGCTTAAAACTCACCTTAAAGCGAAAATCCTCCATATGGCTGCCATTTTCGCTGCCCGGTAAGCGAGGAATCGGCGCAAAAACACAGCGGGTGCCCATTTCGTTTACCCAGTGGCCATTTTGGAACTGTGATCAGCTGTTAAAAAAATCATCATTTTGCGATGATTGGTAAGCGAAACAGGGTACCAATCATCGCAAAGCAATTTTTCCCCATAGGGAACATTGCAATGCAATTGCAAAAGCGATCACAAAATCTTCGTCGCTATGCGGTTCCATCGTTAAACAGGGCGCCCGTTAAGCGAGGCACCTCTGTAGTACTAAACAATCCAGTCCAAGCAGTAATGCATAATAATTAGAGATGGAGACAATTTTTTTAAAAAAATGGTGATTTGTTTTGATCCATTATTCGTCAATGTTAATGGATCAACGAATACAACTATACGAATATTCTTCAATGAATCGACGGATCGATTTATCAATTCATCTGCACTTTAAATGGCTACAACACTGGTCCCCAACCACCTAGAGATACCAAATTTGCAGAGAAGCTTCCTCAGATGCTTTCCTACAACTCCTGAAAGTACTGCATGGTGAATATTGGATAATGGACCCCAGGGTTATATAGTCACAAAGAGGACCCCCAGGAAAGCTCCCCCCAGGTACTTAGAGACTCCAGAATCACAACAGCGCTTCCTATGTCTTTTCTCAGCATGCCTGCCAACTCTGGTGAAGACTGGATATTGTACATCTGAGTTATTCACCCACAAACTGCCCCTCCCAGGAGAGTATACCACATGGCATAGAAGCCCATTCTGCCTACCGGCTGACGATCAACTGATCAGAAGCCAATAGGCAGCCACCCCCCACACACAGCCAGCCACCACAACAGACTACCCCAACACCCCCTTCCTTTCCCTACTTAGCCCCCACCTCACCGACACCCCCTTACCTTAATAGCAGCTGCCGAGGTCTCCATCAGGCCTTCGTAGCCATGGCATGTAAAAAGGGAGACTGGGTGCCTTTTGCAAAGATGGTGGCTCTGGCTTCACTTAGGGTAGGGAAGCTGCAGCTGCCATCTTTGCAAAGGGCAGCCAATCTCCCTTTTTACATGCCATGGCTACGAAGGCCTGATGGAGACCTCGGCAGCTGCTATTAAGGTAAGGGGGTGTCGGTGAGGTGGGGGCTAAGTAGGGAAAGGAAGGGGGTGGGGGCAGGCTGTGGTATTGGGTGGCTGTGTGGGGTGGGGGCTGCCTTTTGCTGCCGATCAGCTGATTGGTGGCTGGTAGGCAGAATGTGTGGGTTTTTTTAATATGAAGGAAGAATAAAAATGGATAAATATTCATCCCTTCATATTCATAGGATTCTCTGGAACCCACAAATACAGATTGTTGAATATTTAACGAATCGGCTATATTCGTCAGAAAAAGCGATCCATTTTTATATTCGTCTCCATCTCTAATCTATCTAAAAATCACACACAGGTTCCTGGTTACTGGGGGAAAGCTTGCCTGAAGAGAAAGGTCTTTACCTGCTTGGGGAAGGATAGCAAAGATGGGGCCAGTTTGGCCTCCTGTAGGAGGGATTTCCAAAGTCTGTAAGTAGTGACACAGAAGGCTCTCTCCTGTCCACATCTAAACTTGTGGCCCTCCAAAGTTTCTATTTCCATTGACATTAATGCAAATATACATCTAACAACAAGCACAAGTGTACATCTGATGACTGGTGGATGTATTAGGGAAAGGTTGACACCATCTCTGTGTGCATCCAGTCCTGATCGATCTCTCCCTCACCCCCTTGTGGCTGTTATTTTACATTTTAAAAGCTAGATATGCAATGTCACAAATACAATAATCACACAATTAATATCATGTTTTGTTTGGCCCTTAAAAAAGGAAATAGAAGTCTGAGGCTGGAATGTGAGAACATTATTATTTTTGCTTCTTTCATATTGACAGAATACGGAGGGAACTCTAATGGCCAGCCTTGTGTCTTCCCCTTCACCTACAAGAACCAGACATTTGAAACCTGCACAAATGTGGATGAGATGACTGGAAACTTCTGGTGTGCCACTACAGAGAACTATGACCGGGACCAAAAATGGAGCTTCTGTCCTGACACCAATCTGGGAAGTGCTCGCCCTCCATTGGCAGGTAAACAGGAGATGTGCGGGTGGGATTGGAAGGAAAACATGGCCCCAGATATGCAGAGCTAATCTTGCCTAGGCTTACATGAAGAAAAGACTGCCGAGTTCCATGATGTCAGATCTGAAATAAAAGCATATTAAATTGCTATTTGCATCGGGAAAAAATCTTCCATTTCAGCTAGTAAGAGAATTTTTCATGGAACTATCAGCTTCATAGGAATAATTCTGGTCAGGGGCACAGTGGTGAAGATAAGAGTTAGCTTCCCCTCACCTGCTTGCTGTGATCCCTAAAATGGCCGGTATACACTTGTGTAAAAATAAAATGTGCACATTCAATGCAATACCATGTTTATGGTCGTTTCTAGAACGGTTCCTGTGGGAGGCAGGTGAACAAACAGGGAAGCCCAGATGGAAGAGCAGCAGGGCCTGAAGTGTTTTGAACAGTTGCAGTGCTATACCCTATGGTGGTTTGGGCCTTGGCAAGTCCTCAGTGTTGCTGGTTATTGGCTCTATCTGTGTGAGTGCACACTACGTACAGTGGTGCCTCGCATAACGATGTTAATTTGTTCCAGCGAAATCGCTGTAGAGCGAAAATGTCATAAAGCAAAATAAAAAAGCCCATTGAAATGCATTGAAAACCATTCAATGTGTTCCAGTGGGCTGAAAACTCACTGTCCAGCGAAGATCCTCCATAGGCGCAGTCATTTTCAGTGCTTGTAGAGCGAGGAATCCATCCAAAAACACAGGGGGGAGCCATTTTGAGCATCCAGCAGCCATTTTGAAAACCTGACGATCAGCTGTTGTGATCATCGTAATGTGAGGAATCGGTTCCCAAAGCAGGGAACCGATCTTTGCAAAGCAAAAACAAAAACAAAAACAAAAACAAAAACAAAACAAAAACAAAAAAGAAAAACCAAAACAAAACCCATTTAAAACATCGTTTTGCGATTGCAATTGCGATCGCAAAAACATCATCATAAAGCGGATTCGTTGTTATACGGGGCAATCGGTAAGCAGGGCATGACTGTAAAATTTCTGCAGATTATTATCCAAAAGAGTAATGTTCATGTTCCGAATGAGATGGAATACACTTTTTTTAAAAGCATCAACCAGCATGCCAAGCACATAGATTGTAAAGCTGATATGATTGTTGTCTGTGGTTCACACTCTCACACGGTTATTTTCAATTCTAACCTCTCCTTTCCCTCTCCCTCCCTCCGTCTCCTCACAACCACCACTGGAAAATATGCAGAGTGTGTCTTTCCTTTCATCTACCGTGGCAAGTCTTACTCAGATTGTACAGAAGAGGATTCAGTTTCTTGGAAGCCCTGGTGTTCTCTCACCAGTAACTACGATACAGATCGGAAGTGGAAGTACTGTGAGCCTACAGGTAGGAACGATAGGTAAAGCCAGCAGTGGTTGGCAACTGGTGATTGAAGATGGGCACAAACCGGATTATGACCCTGAGAAAAAAAGAACTGAGGTGATTCATGACCTGATTCCTAATTCCCATTTTGCTGAATTGAAACAAAGCACCAAACCGTTTTTTGCCTGATGCTTTGTTTAGCTTTGACCTGCCCCTCCCCCTGCCCCTGTTACCTCCCTATCTGCTCTTGTCACCTCCTCCTCCTCTTCTTTCTCCTCCTCCACCATCATCTTCAGAGACAGAGCTTGTACTGCCTTATCACCTCATGGGCTGCCACCATCTTCAGAGACAGAGGCCTGGCGCCACTTCTGAGAGCCAGGTTTGATGTCTCTGCCCATGTACCAGCCTATGATGTAGTAGGCTGGCGCATGCATAGAGACAACAGGCCCAGCTCCTGGAAATGATTGCTCTCTCTGAAGATGGCAGTGGAGGAGGAGGGAGAGGTGGGAGCAGAAGTAGTAAGTAGGGAGGCAACAGGGGCAGGGAGGTAGGGGGTGGTGGTGTTAGGTCCCCCTCCCCCTGCATGAGCCCAAAAAGAAACGAATTGTGAATCAGTTCATTTTTTCTGGAGTTTGGGGGTCGATTGTGGGTAGCCACAAATCACAAACCATCCTGATTCATCATTGTTCTGGTCCATGCCCGTCTCTACTCATTATGCATTTTGTTTGGACCAGAGGGCCTGTGCGGGGGGGAGCAGAAGGAGGGTGGCAATAAAGTACGATGGCTTAGAAGTAGTTTGCATTCTAGTTCTCCCATTAAGCTAGGGAAGAAATCAGCCTCTAGGGCTTTGTTTCTAAGTTATGTCCTTTACCATGTAAAACACAAAGCTGTTTTTAAACATTTCAACAGATTTGCAAAACCAAAATGCAACTCTGAGCAAAGGAGTAGTGGAGACTTAACAAATATCAGCAAGGTAGGTGTGTTTCATGCTTTCTGCCCCTTGCTGTGTTCTTTGTATTTCCCTCATTTGTTGAAAATCCCATCTTCCACACAGCTATGTGAGATACAGTAGCCCCGCTCTTATGTGTGTGTGTGTGTGTGAACCTCAAATGAAAAGCTGCAGGGCCTGAAATGTCTTGGACAGTCCTGGTGGAAAGAGAAGTGAGGGTGTACTTCCCAGCCTCACCCCTAAAATCCACACTCCTTGCAGTCACACCTGTGACAGAGTTTGATATCTTTGGATGAAAGTCCACCCAAGCCTTTCTTGGGCATACCATGTACATAGTTCTTGTGGCTGCTTGGCCAACACTGAAAGCATTGATTCTGCATCTAATTTAAAAAGAGATTTGATATTGAGTCCTTTGTACCCATTTTAAAAAATTGTGTGATCATTTATTTTATTTTATTTTATTTATTCAATTTCTACCCCGCCCCTCTAGACAACGTCTACTCGGGGTGGCTTTCTAAATTACTTAATATATCCTATTTCCTTTTCTTATAGACAACCCATGTGTTTGATGAACATAAAATGACCGTTTCTTCAGCCTTTCTCAGCTGTGTTCCTTGGACTTGCTCCATGCCTATCCTATGCCATCTGCTATATAAATATTGTGAAACTAAATCCATTTGATTCTGTCTGCAGATTACCAAAACAATCAACCAATTTCCTAGGTATATGAGACTCCCACAATTTAAACAACTAAGAACAAAGCCTTTTAGACCAGTGGCCATTACTGTTTACTCTTTGCCTTGGACTCCACTTTAGCCCAGATCTCTGCAGATTCTTCACCCTCAACAGAGTACTTCAGAAACACCTATGGTGCCTTCCTACCTTCTCTATTCTGTTTTACTTCCATGGAGAGTGCTATGTGCTGAAACAAACTACTGCCTTCCTTCTCTGGTCAGCTATGTAGACCCTTGGTTTGTACCAGGGGTGAATAACAAGGGTCTGGCCACCCACATGTGCCCCATGATCCTCTCCCCTCCTTTCATTCCTTACTATTTTTCAAGACCACAACCATATCCACCATTTGAAGAACCATGTTGCACAAATTTGGTGGCACAGCAACCCCTCTTCCCTTCCCCTCCCTGAAGCTAAGGTGATTTTCTGGAATGATCCACCATAGCATGGAGAGGTACCATGGCACGTCCTTGTATCATAGAAAGCCAGGGCAATAACTGTTAAATTTTGATCAATTTGCTTTGACTCCAGAAGTTGTGGTAGTGTGAGCTGCCAGATATTGGTAGCAGAAACAGTGGTGGTGAAGCCCCTTATGCAACCTCAGGGGGGATGTCCAAATGTTCAGAAATGGTTTCCAGTCTCTATGGTTCAGCAGAAGGACTAATGAAGGGGACGAAGTGGTGCCTGGTGAAGTTTCCAAATCTAGGGTAGGGTGAATGTGCCAGTTAGCAGTGCGGGCAAGGGATGATCCCATACTAAGAACATCCCTCCATTACCCATAGTTCTTATTCTTTCTCTTGTTTATCAGCACAAACAATTTGAAGGAAAAAGAGCAGAATACTGTATATGGCTCAAATCTGAAACATTCCAATTTCACTGGAAAAAAGTGATGCTGTAGTTTCATTTGGCTTGAGTCAGCATGAGGCTGCTTTGTCCTGATGCCAGTTCAACGGACTCGTTTCCCCGTTGTTGTTCCTTGCAGTTTGATATTGACACAAGATAAATGATATTAACTTTTGTACAAACAAGATACAAATTTCTGGTGATTGTTATGGTGAATGAGTGGCACAGACGCTCTAACTGCATTCTTGTTTAATATAATAATAGTAATAGTTGGACGAGCTTTTAAAACAGTCAAAGAAATGATGATTGCTAACCATCTCATACATGGAGAATGGAAATTCCTGCCTTCTTCTCTTTGTAGAGAGGAAGAAACTGATCACATGTTTTGCCTTCATCCTAAATAAAGTCTATCTTTGCAAATGGCCAAATGGATTTTTATGTGAAATCAAGGATAAGTCGGGATGATACACTATTTTAGGAAAGGAGGTTTCTTAAGTGGTAAAAGATAGCAGATAGTTTCTGTCACCTATGCATCTTGCATGTGCCATGTTTTGTTTTGTGATCATCACTGGAAGATAAACATTGGCTTAATCTGCATCCTTCATTATTGGGCCCATATCTCTAAAGAAATCCCATTGTGGGAGGGAAAATTGATTAATTGTAGGGAATACAATTCCCTTAAAGTATATTTTGATCCCAAGACACAACAGTCAAGCACTTAGAGTCACATCTGAAATGCCCCATAGTGGGGATGTGTGTGTGTTTGTGTGTGTGTATGTGTGTATGTGTGTGTGTGTGTGTAAGGCAGAGATATCAGACACCATTTTTCACCAGTATCCTCAGGCATGGCCCCAACAGCACAACAGGTGTGATATCACCACCACCAGCATATTGCTGCTTTTTCAGTGTTGAGGTGTGTGTGTTCTTGTACCATTGAGCCCAAGTTACAAGCACCCCAAAACTGAGGAAAAAACCCCTCTTCAATTAGCAGCAACCTGCCACTGCTGGTAACATCACTCCTTTTGTGAAGATGGAGCTATACAACAAGATATTGAACTTTTTGTATTATCTCAGTTTGCTGAAGATTTCCCATTTCTTAAGAGAGCTTTCAGGGATGACACTGATGTATATCTCAGCTCACACTACAGTATATTGCTTTGTTAGGCAAAATAGACCCAGACAAAATGGGAGATCTTTTCTGGCTGCAGGTACTTCATTCTCTCCACTTGGATTTGGGCCTGAAAGACAGAGGGTTAGCTGCACAGAGAGTTAGCTGAATGCAAGCAAAGTTTGTAACATAGCACGGCATCATTCTTGATCACAGGGCAGCTTGAGCTAACAGTTTCTGGGCTTTGTGGCATGAGGAGCTTGGAACAATTATTGGACTACAATTCCCAGAATCACTCAGATACCTTACAGTTAAAAGAAGTGTAATATTTCGAAGCTCTGATTGGTGCAGGAACCAGTATGAAATAGTCATAACCCTGATCTTGAAATCACTCAAAAATTAAATAAATACATTGCTTATTTTGTCTTTTGGATTTGTGCAAGCAAATGTTCACAGTCATGGGAGGAAGGCATGGCCAAGTGAGCCATGTAAGAAAGAGGAGTGAATGTGGTGCTCATGTGCATGGGACTGCCTCTGGATAGTGATTTCCTCTGTTGTTGCCTCCATTAGACATGGGCTATTCATATTCATATCCCTGGGGATATGAATAAGAATCATGGAACCACAGATGCCCCAGAGGCCCATTTCCTCTCCCCAGAACCGGCCGGTCATCACACAGTGCCCGGGTCCTTTGTTGTCATTGTTGTGCTAATCCGGGAAGGAGACCAGCTGGTGCTTCCCTGCCTCCATGTACAGGTGACCACTCTGGTGAGGAGACAGGATGGGGAGTCTCTCCACTCAGCTGCTGAGTGATCAGCTGCATGGGGAGGCAGGGAAGTGCTAGCCAGGCTCTTTCCTGGATTGGTGCAATGATGACACCAAAGGGCCTGAACAATGAGTGGCAATCAGTGAGTGGACCAGCCAGTTCTGGTGGGAGGGAATGGGCCTCCATGGCACCTGTGGTGCTGCAATTCATATTTGTATCCCCAGGGATGCGAATACGAATAGCCCATGTCTTATCTCCATCTTTTTGGGCTCTTCTGCCTTTCGTCACTGTTGAACAGAAGATAAGAAATGTTTCAGTTCTGGTTTATGTGACCTGGTCTAGCAGCCTATTACTGACTCCTGCTTTCAGTGGATAGAGGAGAGGTGACATAGATATGTAGAATCCATGGAGCAAACGTATCACCAAAAGGCAATTTTTTTCAGTGCTTCTGAAATGACAACTGGTTGGGATTGCACATTGAAGAATGTGTGAACTAGAGGCAGGCAACTGGTGGCCACCCAGAGGTTGTTCTCCTGCAACCACCAGTAAGTGGTGGCTTTAATTTTGGAAGTGCTGTAAATCCACTCTAGGTTTCTACATCAAAAATACTGAGCTCTGCCCCCAAAATAGGCTCAGCGCCTTGAATAACTCCTGTAAAGTGCAGATTAAAACCCAGACGGATTCACAGCACTTCTGAAACTGGGGTCAGCGGCCACCACAAGCCCTCCAGCCAGCAGAGCTACTCATGAGGGATAATGGCATCTGCTGTCTAATGACATAAGAGATAGTTCACGCTTGATTTTCTCTGGGACCCACTTGTTCATTAGTCCAGGGTACCTGCAAATCTCTCTTCCAGCCCCATATTTCAAATGAATCTATTTTTTTTCTCCTGTCAGCTTTCCTTTCTGTCCAGTTTTCACATCCGTACATAGTGATCAGGAATACAAGAGTGTAAATGATCTTGATCTTGGTCTAAAGTGACACAGCCTTACAGTTGATGTTCTTGTCTAATCCCTTCATTGCTGCCATTCTGAGTCTCAGTCTTCTTCTGATTTCTTTGCTACAGTCTCTATTTGGATTGATAATTGATCCAAGATATACCAAATCTCTCTGTGCCGCCATGGTGCCACCCTGCTTCCATCTTGGGGAAAAAATAGTCAATAAAGCTGTGACCTGAGTTTGAACCCGGTGGTGCTGTGGGTTAAACCACAGAAGCCTCTGTGCTGCAAGGTCAGAAGCCTCAGCAGTCGTAAGATCGAATCCAGGCGACGGAGTGAGCTCCCATTGCTTGTCCCAGGTCCTGCCAACCTAGCAGTTCGGAAGCATGTAAAAATGCGAGTAGATAAATAGATACCACCATGGTGGGAAGGTAATGGCATTCCGTGTCTAGTTGTGCTGGCCACATGACCACGGAACCTGTCTTCGGACAAACGCTGGCTCTATGGCTTGGAAACGGGGATGAGCACCGCCCCCTAGAATTAGACACGACTGGACTAAATGTCAAGTGGAACCTTTACCTTTTTATTACATCTTCCTTCCTTCCTTCCTTCCTTCCTTCCTTCGATTTTTACCCCACCTTTCTCCTTCAGAAGGATCCAAGGCAGCTTTCAGCATTCAACTACAATATTTAAAGCTAAAAATAATGTGTGCAAATACTAAAAAGGATCAAACCAATACCACAGTAAAAGATAGTAAACAAAGACAACATCAAAACACATTGAAAGCAGCAAGGCACATTAATCTATTTAAGAAAATGTACTATTTACTGGTTGCAATATATGGTGGGCTTCTGATAGTGGGGTTGGATCCGGTCATCAAGCATGTGTGAGAGCTTTCATCTGCACATGTTGATCCAGGTTTCATATAAATATATTTGCCATACAAATTAAACCATATTACATAATTAAAATATAAAGGTAAATATTAACTCAACAGAGACAGCACCGTAAATGTTGGGGGTGTTTTCCCTGTGAGTATCTTTGCTTTTCTTCAGAAATGTTAAAGAAGAAGCTGTCTGAGGTTCCAACATGTGGCAACAGGAGTTTAAATAAGGATCTCTAAGGGGGCTGATAAGATACCACTGTTGCAATAAGGAAGTATTGAGATCTGTGAACCACTCCCCACAAATTGACATTTACTGTGGGCTTTTGATAGTGGGATTGGAGCAATCTCAAATTTACAAAATTGCACCAAGAGTGTGTGTAAACACATTCAGTTCTTGCTCACTGTGCAAACACCGGATGTTCACAGTTGTGGAAAGATGTTGCCTCATAGCACGAATAAAAGGGCCTCTCTCCATGAAAGTCAAATACTGGACCTTTAAAGGAGAAATGGCCTTCAAGAAGATATCTCTATGGTGTATCAATGTCCTCTTACCATTACTTGTCGCAGGTGAAGGTAAGAAACACTTCCTGCTAATTTTTAATGTTTTTTTTAAAACTTGGGATAGATTTTCTGTGTTGTTGATTGCACATAGGCCACACTGTAGTCAACATGAAAAGTTAGTCACATTTAATGGTTGTTGTGGGTTTTTCGGGCTCTTTGGCTGTGTTCTGAAGGTTGTTCTTCCTAACGTTTCGCCAGTCTCTGTGGCTGGCATCTTCAGAGGACAGCACTCTGTGCTCTGACAAAGTGCTGTCCTCTGAAGATGCCGGCCACAGAGACTGGCAAAACATTTGGAAGAACAACCTTCAGAACACGGCCAAAGAGCCTGAAAAACCCATGACAACCATTAGATCCCGGCCGTGAAAGCCTTCGCGAATACCTTAGTCACATTTAATTTGACACCCCAGCTTTTTAAAGCTAAGAATCAGGCTTATTCTTTTGTCTAAATTAACTGTCAGGCTATTACTTAACAATGTTCACCCAAATTGGACAAGAATCTCTTCTGTGTACAGATAAAACAGATAAGGAGATAAAATGCACCCTTGCACTTCTTTACTTACTTACCATTAAGTGACCATTGGTCATTGAAGAGGTTCTGGTCCACATTTACAAATATTAATATACACAAAAGCTTACATTCCTGATTAAAGTACTTTGTACTCATTTTTAAAGACAAAAGCAGGGTTTACTGGAGTACCTTCTAACAATGACTAGGGATCAGCATTTCAGATTTTTTGGATTACAAATCCCATAAAGATAAGCATGACAATCTGTTTGGAAAAAGGCTAATGAAACAGGCAGTCAAAGTGAGACATGAAGAAGCCGAAAGCTCATTAACAGACTTGTTGGTGTTTGCTGGTGCTTTAGGGAGGTAACTTCCAATGCCTTGTCAAAACTCGAATTGTTTAGGTTGGAAGAAGCCAATTCACAGTATCATGAAGACATGTATAGGTTATGAATGAGTGTATGTTTATCATCATGTTAAATAATATTGTCATTTCCACACCATGTATCTAATGGATCACTGTATCTGAGAAAAGTTGTAGTGTATTGTGAAGATATTCCAGCATTGTTTTCACAGTTTTTGTCACTGCTAATTACTTTTCCATGCTCCTTATTGGACATGATTCCAGCTGCTGGATGAGAAAAAAAAATAGTTGTTGTGGGTTTTTTGGGCTGTCCTCTGAAGATGCCGGCCACAGAGACTGGCGAAACGTTAGGAAGAACAACCTTCAGAACACGGCCAAAGAGCCCGAAAAACCCACAACAACCATTAGATCCCGGCCGTGAAAGTCTTCGCGAATACAGAAAAAAAAAATACATTTGCCTTTTTTTTTTGCTATCACACTAGGGTTTAGTATTTTCCTAAGATCAGGACACAAACATATTCAGCACAGATGACCTGGGTTGGATATAGCCTGAAAACAAATGAAGAATCTGGAATATAGAGAAGCTGAAGACAAGGAGTTGGAGGAGGATGTAAGAATTGCTGGATAGCTCCGTGGCTTAAGTCTTTGGCGGCAAACCCCGAGGTTGGGAGTTCAATTCCGCACTGTAACTCCTTAAGATGGGCTGGACATGATGAACCATAGGGTCCCTTCCAGCTCTGCATTTCAAAGGTTATGATTATGATGATGTATAGGAGAAAAACATGGGGCATGTAGATAGATGCCTGAAGATGGATCGAAAGGTTTATTCATCCCAGGAGAACTGTTAATCCGTTATACAGATAGATAATGGAGTTAGGAGTGAAATAGGGAAAAAACAAAACATTATGTTCCATTAACCCTACATGAAGCCTGAGTGAAATGAAGGTCTGCCCATCAGGTATGTCTTGAATGGAGCTCATCAGTGGTTGCATGTGGGGGTGCCATTCCCAAAATTGCTAAACTGTTGGCTTAATCTACAGTAGAGGGCAAACCCTCCTGGATGACGTCACAGCTGCTTCTGAGGTGCATGACTGCCCATCATTCTTCTTTCTCATAGGTGATAGAGAGCTTGCTTAATTGCCTTTCCTAGGCCAATAATAATGGCATGATGTAACCATTGTCCTATCTGAACTATCATGTCAACTATCTGTATACTGTCAACTATCTGTGAGCTTGTAAGGTTAATAAAAGCACAGTCCTAGGGGCAGGGGAGGGAAGACTTCTCATTCTGCTTCCTCAGACTAGTCACCCGTCAGGAGCACTGCTGGCAGACATCCCTGTGTGTGGCTTACTTCTTTAACTTCTATCTCTAAGAGACTATTTTCTATCCTAATTACTTGTGATCACAAAGCCCATCAGCCTGCTCATTTCGTGACTCCAACAATTGCATACATCCAATCAGGAGTTAATGGGTTTAAGCACATTATGACATTTTGTGATGTCATAGTACAGTAGTCAAAGTAAAGGCATACCTATATCTGCAGGGCTTATGTGCCTTGTAGAGATCAGAAGAACAAAACAGCACCTAATCTAGGTTTTCTACATGAATGTTCAGAGAGGCAGTCTACTTCTTCCAATGCTTTTGTTGGGTGAAGCAAGGCAGTGTGGTCAGTCATAAGCAGGTAGAGTGTGAACATTTAATCATTTATTAAAATATATGTTTAAATATTTTACTATATACATTAAAAATAAGACAACCCCCCCCACACACACACAGTGCTCCCCTTCACTAGGACCAATGGGGATATCTATTCCTTCCTTTTATGGAGCCCCATTCCCCTTCCAGAAGTACATTAACTCCTGTGAAGGTACACAACCTTCCCCCTTTTTAATACAAAGTCTATCAATTCTCCCCACATATCTACAAATTCATGCTTATTCCTTTTCTTACTGTAATTTCACATAATTTATCATTAATAGCTGTAGTCCACACTTCTTTATATCATTGATTTAGTTGAAGATAGCACTTAACCTTCCATTATTTGCTATTATTAATTTAGTCGCTGTTTCTAAATTTATAATCAGTTCTTTTGTTGTTGACTTTCATTGTTCCCTCTCGAATACCATTAAAAGTGCTATTTTAGGACATATTCTTAGATTTAAATTTAACATTTCACGTATTTCTTTGAATCATAGAATAGTGAATTTGGAAGGGGCCTATAAGGCCATCAAGTCCAACCCCCTGCTCAATGCAGGAAAAAATAATCAAAGGATATCTGTCAGGTGGTTGTCGAAGTTTCTCTTGAATGCCTCCTGTGTTGGAGCACTCACCACCTCTCAAGGTAATTGGTTCCACTGTCGTACTGCTCTAACAGTAAGTTTTTTCCTGATACTTAATCAAAATCTGGCTTCCTGTAACTTAAGCCCATTGTTGTGTGTCCTGCACTCTGGGACGCTCCTTCCCCTCCTCAGTATGATAGCCTTTTAAGTGGTTGTTTCCATTCCATCTAATTCCCTTACTCGTGAGATGTCCTTTTTTCTAGGACCCACAGTGGCACTGTGGCTTGTGGAAAACTCATCCTAAACCTTCGCTCCATCCATATGGCTCTACACAAATGCATAAGCCCATTGTTGTGTGTCCTGCACTCTGGGACGCTCCTTCCCCTCCTCAGTATGATAGCCTTTTAAGTGGTTGTTTCCATTCCATCTAATTCCCTTACTCGTGAGATGTCCTTTTTTCTAGGACCCACAGTGGCACTGTGGCTTGTGGAAAACTCATCCTAAACCTTCGCTCCGTCCATATGGCTCTACACAAATGCAGCAAAGAATGCTCACAAGTTATGATGTGGTTCACCTTTCTCTAATTTACTGCAAAGAACTTAATAGGGAAGTTATATGTTCCTATGCACTTTCTCTCTCACTCTTTCCTTGCTGCTGCCTTTTTATAGCACCAATGTTGCAGAAAGGCAGCTCACATACAATAGTTTTATGCTGAGCTGAGGAACCCCACCAATTTTTGAGTGGCTGGAGATCAGTTGCCCGGCCACATCATTCATAGAATCAGAACTTTTCATCCTCCGGCACTGCCTGTCTTCAAAGCTCAACTGTCCTCAAATCTCAATTGAGATCTCAAAAGCCTAAGCACTGATTTCTAATCAATTCTTCCCATGATTGTATTAGTATATGTAACCACAGATATTTAAAAACAAGATTTGTGGAATTGGGCCTTCTGCATACTGTATTTGTACAGCAGAGATGTGGCTGCTAGCAGGTTGAGGAGTCTTGTGAAATACAATAAATTTCAGAGAGGCCATGTGTGCATGAATTTGATGAAGAACACTAGTGTCTCAGGGTGACCTTGGCATGGGATAACATGCTCTGAATTCACAGCATAACATTTGTCAATTAATCCTCTAGCACAGTGGTCCCCAACCTTGGGCCTCCAGATGTTCTTGGACTTCAACTCCCAGAAATCCTGGCCAACAGAGGTGGTGTTGAAGGCTTCTGGGAGTTGTAATCCAAGAACATCTGGAGGCCCAAGGTTGAGGACCACTGCTCTAGCAAACTACTATATTAATAGATGGTGTCTAGCTGAACTCCAAGATAGGTGTAGATCATGAATGGTCCTTCATTTTTTCCTCTTTCAGGGACATGCCTAGTTTGTGAATTAGCTCTTGAAAGACCCCCATGATGCATTTGCAAAGGGAGGTTACTAGCTTTCCGCAAAAAACAAAATCACCCAAATAATGCACCACATGGGGGAGCCCCACTCTATGTTTGAGAGCCCTTTCCAAAAAGGAACTGAAACAGAGGAATGCAGTGAAAGAGAGAGAGAGAGAGAGCACTCCATAGGCAATGCCCTATCCATGTAGTAAAACACCATCAAAAACAAAAACCAGTAACTCAAAATCCTTGTGATGTAGTGGTAGCAAGTGAAATGCAGACTTGATGTCACATTTAGCCAACTCAGCACTGTATCCATAAGCCCTAAGCATGCACACAGCTCCATTGAATGATATGTACTGGACAGTGCATAGCTCCTGAGGAATCATTAACTGAATCCCCTGCTGGATAAGATAAATGATGAATCAGCTGAAATTCACCAGGGGATTTTTTTTTTTGGCACTATTCACAATAAGGAGA